CAGTCGCTCTAACTGCAGCCATGATTGATTAGCAGCATGCAACATGAGGTGCTTCAGCACACACGAAGGAACACACGACCAGAATGCATAATGCCGTCTATTGAGTTGATGCTGTAAACCATAGCTATATAGCTAAATCTATAGCTATATATTTCTGCAGTATTATATGCTTTGTTTCATGCCACGGCCAGAGGAAATTTGCTGCGTGTGTTTGTGTGCCTCCTCCAAGACGCCTTTTGTGTACGCTCCGCCGACAATGATGAATGCGGAGGCCGTGTTGCAATTGTATCTGCATTTAATGACACACACACACACACATTACAAACACAAGCGCAGCGAAATTGTATCTTTGAAGTCGCTCTTCAATATTCTTATCGTCGTCTTCTTTGCACAACCTCAGCCATTACTTAACATTCGCATCGTATCATATTATGAGACTTCACTTTTTCATTATGATGTGCACATGATTGCAATTAACTTTCAACTCGGCACTTTTATTAAGATATTTAATTGATTTTTCCTCTTTTGCAGGTACGTTCCAACAAGCCAACCAAAAGCGTAAGTAGTTTTCCGAATCGCTTTTACTATTAGCCACTTATCGATCAAGTTGCCTTGAACGTGCACAAAGTTGGCAGCTTGAAGTGCTCCTCAAAGCAGATTCCAAATCATCTAGTTTTTTGACAAACAAAAATAAATACAAATACAAATATATAAATCAAATATCAAAGTCAGCGAAGTCAGGAAATAAGTTCTAACATCTGTGCGGGCACAGTTGTTAGTGTTGATGCTTGACGTTGAGTGGCGGCGTTCAGATACATTTGAATAAAAGTGAAATTCAAAATCAAAATCGAAACGAATATGCAAATGGAAATTCCATTGGCATACAGACAACTTTAAGAACGAGTAGTCAAACTTTGGCCTTACTCAGTGCCCTTTGCCTTTGGTCTTCAGTCCGTCAGGACCTTCGAAGCGTAGTTTTGGGCGCTGCGTGAATTGAAAGTTAATTAGCATGCCAGTGCTTTAGGCATATTAAAGCTGTTCCCAGATTTTGTTAGTGTTCCGTAAATCGTTTAGTTAGCAAACGAGTTATTCATTCGTTCATTAATTGACCGTCGAGGCGTATGCGTAATATTTAGGGTACTCATTACATGCCTATTGATCTTCCGTTAAATTTGATGACATTTGCAGCTTAAGTGCCAATTAATAGCGGGTCATAATATTAGAATTTAATTACTCAGCTAATTGGCAATAAATCAAACTCACCTTACCAGCTTCTGGCAGCCGACACAAATATGCACTGAAGCCTTGCAACATAATATTCATAATTATGTATGTCAGCACTCGAGATTGAGATAACGAGTTTTCGCAACAACAACAACAACAGCAACGAAAAAATAAAAACAATAAAAACAACAAGAAAAACTGCAGAATGAGAAGCTGCTGTGGCAACTTGATGCGTATCCTTGACGGCGGACTCATCTTCAGCTTATCTGCGCAGCTATGCAAACCGTTGGCCTACCTGCAGCTGGCGTTGCCAGTGCGTCTCTCTTAATCAACGGGTTTTATCGCCACGATTTTATTTTCGGGCTAAATAAACTATTAGGAAAACTCATTTTCATGAAAATCCACATTAATTGCTGTTGCCGTCGCTGCTGCTGCTGCTGGTGCTGCTGCTGCTGTTGCTGCTCGTCAACGACTGTGGTTACGCCCACCCAAGCAGCAACAACAACAGCAACAACAGCAACAGCAGCAATAAAAGCAACAGCAACAATAAGAAGCGTACGGCTCTGGTATCTCAGTGGTCTGGCATTTGGCAAACGACGTTACTTGTAAATTTAACGCAAATTGTCTGTAACATGAGCTGCTCGTCTGAGGTGTCGCGGATGCAGGGTGAGGAGCCGCTGCGGATGCGGACGGGCACTCTAAGTGCCAACAGCAGTGTCAGCCATTAAATTTTCAAGTGTATGTGTGTGTGTGTGTGTGTGTGTTTGAGTGAGTGTGTGTGCTGAAGGACAAGCAGACATTTGCACAGGCAATTCGTAGACAGCGCCGCTGAAGATTATAAATGGCGACAAAAGTGTCAAAAGCGAATTAGCTTATGCTCTTTCAGTATGGTATGAATAATGCCAATAGTATTGAGAAAAATGATGAAAGTATGTTAATTTCTGTTATAGCAATACATTTAACTAAATAAAAGATATAGGAATTAAACAGAAATTTTGCAAAACTTTAAGAATAGCAATTTTCGATTGCTTTCAATACTGACAATTGGCATTAGAATTAAAGACGGCACTCAAAATATGAGACAATCGCACTCTTAGTTTGCTTAATCATTTCGAAATGATTCTAATCTTCAATTAATGTACTAACAGGAAGCATCACAAATAAGTAAAGCTATAGCGAACAAATAGCTTAATCATGTCGCCTGTCAGTCTGCAAGTCCCTAAAGCTCTCGCTTTAGTCACCTTTGTATGTGTGTGTGTGTGTGTAAGGTGTAATGCGTGTGTATGAATACTTGTGGTTATTAGCGTAATGTTATGTGGCTCCTTGGGCCTGTCTGCCGCCAGCAGAAGGAGTATCGACATCGTCATCATGATGGTCCCCGTCAAAGTTTTTGATCTCCCCGCATTTAGTCGCACACATCCTTGGAGAGCAATTTGCAAAAGACCAAAGCTGCGGTTGCCTCAACAGCCACGTGCCACCTGCCATCTGCCATCTGCCACCTAGTCGGTTACACCTGTTTGTGGTGCCGTTTGTTAACTTTTGAATATATATGTATATATACATATATTGCCAGACAGCTTGTTTACATGACAGTTGCGCGGATTATTGCAGCCATTTTGCGGTTTTTGATCGCTTTAGTTGCACAACATGCAATTAAAACCTGCATTTAAAAGCTGTAAATTAACATAATGTCTAGGTAGACAGCTAAGCAACCGAACAGCAGAACAACAATAGCCACAACAACAGTAAAAATGCAAAAAAAAAATATGTATATGCGAATGCAAATGGCGTCTGCATAAAATTTATTGACACTTTCCGAGCGCTGCTTGCCGCATTGTCATTGTCATGGTTAGGTGGCAGGTTTTAGTGGGATGCTAAATGCTAAATGCTGAATGTGGAATGCTGAATGTTGAATGCGGCATTGTGCAGGTCTCTTCCGTTTGTCAGATTTCGTTGCGGTTGACATTGTTACACCCATGGCCACGCCCCAGGCCCCAGGCCCCAGGCTCCGGGCCCCATACTCCACGCCATCCCCTTAGCCATGTGCCACATGATAGCATGGAGCATTTCGACGTTAGCGTATTACAAACGTATTCTGGCATCCTTGGTGTTTTTCCAGTGATTCGTTTTCATTTTAATGAGCAAACTTTGGCATTTGCGCCATTTATTTGCAGTTGACGCACGCATCCTAGCAACAAATGCAGATAAAATTCAAGCAAATCTGCTGCATGGAAATTAATTTACAATGCTTTACAAGCTCACAAATGTCTAGATAATTAAATGACTTTCAGACTCGCAACACCATCGTCAGCCAGCTAAGCCAGCAGGATCATAATAATTAAAACTATGTACATATATAGGCCCAATTGAACTTAAAAGCCTTCACAATAACAAACTATTTATTGTCTGTAACTGTAATGGTCAGCTATATAATCAAATGAGTTCTGAGTTCCAATTTCACAATTTACTGCTGCGTAGTCTTTGGATAATAATAGAATTGGGAACAGCCTAATTTTACTTAATTTGTATGCAATAATTACTTTGATTGCGTTGAGATCTTGAGTCGCATTAATAGCATATGCAGCTGAATGCTTCGCTTGATTGGACGATGAATATTTCAAATTATAATCAGTTACGTATACATGTTATAATAATATTACACGAGATAACAAAGATTCAAAACAAATATAAATCAAATATAGCAAAGCTACATTGGACAACCACAATATTTGTACAGAAAATTGTGTATTCGATTGCATTTGTGTGTCGATGTTGTTTTAACATTGCACAAACTATACCCGTTCAGTTGAAGCAGCAACTGTGCCACAGCTGCAACTGCTGGCCACAAAATGGCAAATGAGAGCAAGACTCGAAACCCCAAAACTAAACCCAAAAACCCGAAATACGTTGCAAATGCTACGCAGCTCATTCGAAATGTGCTCAAAAATCGTATTTAATTAGAAGCCACAACCACAAAAAGTGTCGGTTCGCTTTGAAGTCAAATGATATAAATGGAACAGAAATCATAATCAAATGTCAGCAGTAAATCAAAGGATTCAACTGGTAGACGAACTGCGCTGGCAAATCGGATTAAGAACACGCTGTGAAGTGAAGAAGGATGCTAGAGCAACTTTTGCTTGCAATCACCTTGAAAATGTACACTATGTGTGCATGGGTGTGTGTGAGTGTGTGTGTGTGAGTGTGTAAGTGTGTGGGTGTGTGGGTGTATGTGTGGGTGTGTGTGTGTGTGTGGGTGTGTATACATTTTTGTATGTTGAGCTACTCGTGTTTGCCAGAGCGAAACACTCACTGAACGGACAACTGTTCACAATTATAAACTCACTCGTCCTGCTGTGGGTGGGTGTGTGTGCATAGTGTGTGTGTGTGGGTGTGTGTATGTGTGTGTGTGTGTGTGTGTGTGTGTGTGTGTAGTGTGTGTTTGCCGATGCAGCTTAGACACAACAGTTTCATCTATGTTATGCTTAAATTTATTATGATGAAAACATGTTAGGCGCTCCCACACACTAAAGCGCACAGAGCGACCAGAGCAGGGCACCTGTCATAAACAGTAAAGCGTTTTTCCATGTTGTACGTCAATTTGATATATATCGTAGTGCATACATGACACACACTCACACACACACACACATACACATACACTTACAACAACAAATCATTAACATCATGTATTTGTCTTTCGTCTATACCCACCCACCCTCCCCCACTCCCACCAACAACTCTCAATTCCACCTATCTAAAAATATCCTAAAACTCAGTGGCTGCCACTGCGCATTTGAAGTCGCCTGGCGAGGGTGAGGGCGAGCCTTGGATGCAGCCGGTTGTGGCATACTTGGAGGCGGCGGTGCGGCCCACAAAATCGCCAAGTAGGTGGCGCCACGAACAAATCTCAATATCTCTCGCTTTCTTGTTCTCCCTCTCTCTCTCTCTCTCTCTCTCTCTCTGTCTTTGTGTCTCTTGATGTGTGTGTGTGTGTGTGTGTGTGGTTGGTTGCGTGTGTATGCGTGCGTCCTAAGCCCGTAGTTAACAGTTACATTTAAGTGTCTATCTGTAGTTGAAAGTTAACTTAGTTGAATATGAAAATGCTTTCTAGTTGTACAATCACACACACACACACACACACACACACATATATATACACACAACACACACACACCAGCACACACACAGCAGCTGTTTTGCATACGGTTCAACTATTGTGTTACTGCTACGTTCTTTGTATGTGTTTGTACTAGTATATTATATTAAATTGTGTGTATGTCTATTGCTAACCATTATTATTATTGCAGCGACTTGTAGCAACTTGACTTATCAATGCCAAAATCACACACAAACCTTACCTGTTTGTGTGTGCAAATCTCACTCTCTCCCTCTCTCTCTCTCTCTCTCTCTCTCCCTCCCTCTCTCTCTCTCTCCCTCTCCCTGTCTCTCTTTATCTGAATAATACAGAATGTGATCAGACGTTTGTCTCGCGCATTGGCGGGCCGCAGAACGGCAGCTTCACGGCACCGTTGCTGCATAACCATCGCAATCATTCGCGCCAATGCCTCTACACATTCCTAGCAGGACCTGGCCAGCGCGTCGAAGTAGTTTTTAAATCCTTTAATTTAAGAGGAAGTCCGCCAGAGTGAGTTTCACAACCCCTCCACAAAAAAAAAAGAAAAAACCTCCACCCATAAACACAGAGCCAAACTTAATTAATTAATTGCATTTGTATTGTACTAAATTTCACAGCGGTTCGGCCGTCGGTGAATTACCAAGGTGAGTGTAATTAATTGACTTTGATGTGAGCGTGGATAATGAGAGTTCGCATTACAGTTGTGTTCATGAGTACATGGATATTTACTCGGAGGTGCAATCGTCCGAACCAGCGGAGCTGATCAATTCGCCATTTGGCGGTCGCTACTGTGGCACAATTCCGCCTCGTCGCCGCATTTCCATGTACCGCGCCGTTGCCATCTCATTTTTTAGCAACAAGAATGTATCGACGGACCTGTTCGAGGGCACTTTTAGGTTTATAAATGCATGTAAGTATTGTGCGCAATTAAACCACCATCGCCAAGCTAAAACTATTGCCCTCAACTTATGTGTGACTTTTGCAGCGGAATATGAAATTGGTATACCAATTGCTGGTTCGCCATGTTCCTACACGATAACGCCTAGCATGAGTATCAATAAAACTGGCGCACTCATATCGCCAACCTATCCAGGTGCCTATCCGAAGGATATGTCATGCACATATCAATTTCTTGGTGAATCGAATCAGAGAGTTAGATTAGAGTTTCGTGATTTTGATCTGTTTTTTGGTGGACCACAGTGAGTACCCCTAATGCTGTACAAATTCAAAACAAATTCACACGAAACATAGCACATACAAAACACAATCACAAACATAAACAACAATTTCAAGTCAAAATCAAAGCGAATTCTGGCAAAAACAAAACCAGCAATTTGCTTTGACATGCAGCTGACACACACACACACAGATACACACACACAGATACAGAAACTCATATCTTCAAACTATCTGCAAGAATTGTTTATTTGAAATTCTATGTACGCTCTTTTCCCTATTGCTATAACAATCTATTCGTCTACAACAAAATTACTACTGCTAACTATCAACATCACCAACAACTATGACAACTAAAACAACTAAAAAACAACAACAACAACAACAAAATAATCATACAACAAATTCAGCTGCCCATTTGACTATGTGAAAGTGTACGATGGTCCAGATAATTCGTCAGCATTAATCGGTACATATTGCGGACAGCAAAGAAACTTAGTATTGTATTCGAGCGAGTCGAGCCTTTTTGTTCATTTTTATACCTTACCGCGCACCGCAAATACGCAAAATCGTGGCTTTAAAGGAATTTATGAATTTAGCGAAAGTTTTGTTAAATTAGATTTTATACGTAAGTATTTTCCAACCATAAACCAAATAATATACATTTATTTTTCAGTTTATGCAACTTAACCCAAAAACTATGGCCATTTTGTGGCGCTCTCAAACTTTTGGTAACGCCACAAAATGGCCGCCAACAACACACATTTAACGGCTCAGTGTATGTGTCTGAAACACCCACTCCCCCCTCAAACAAACCCCGTTTGGCTTTTTGTTACATTTTTGTTGCATTCTAATTACAATTGGTTACCAAACACGAACTAATCAAATTTACCCACAACTCAACTATATTTTCCCCTTTCTCTCTCTGACCGACTGGCACTATTCCTCTTTCAACTGTAATCGAAATTTCTAAAAAAAAAACACCTACTATAATATCGGATGAAACCTGCTGCTACTGAACTATACCAATTTCTGCTAATCAATAAAAAATAAAAATGCAACACAAACAAATACAAAAAAAAAAAAAAAAACCAAAATTAAAAAATATCGACCATCAGGTGAAAATGATGGCATTCACATACGTGGCTCTGAATGTGATCAAAAGATTTTATCGAAGAAGGAATCAACTGGATTTGTGCTCTCACCCAACTATCCCTATCCATATATACCAAAAACTGTGTGTAGGTAAGTGGCAACGAATCAAATCAAAAGCGGGTCCCTTTATTATTGAGTGAGCAATTTTAATGCTTCAATTGCTTTTCGCAGATATTTCATTTATGGCATGCAAGATGCACAGCATCTGGAGCGTGTGCGTCTCGAGTTTACCTCTTTCAATATACCCAAGGTGGAGCACAAGGACAAGAGCGAGTACGCAAAAGCACACATCCCTAACAGCCCAGCGTAATTGGCTCTAATTAAATGTGACACTTTCAATTTCAATCCACTCTAGATCCAACTGCACTGATGGCTATCTGAAGGTCTATCTGAAGGGCCAGGAGACCGCCGATGCGTATGACAAGTTCGACTACGAGCTGTGCGGCAATGAGACGCAGCGCGTCATCAGCGATGGGCCGCGACTGGCGATGGTGTTCAGCTCGGGTGAGCTGCAGGGGCGTGGCTTTAAGGGCAAGTACACATTCGAGACGGAGTATAAGATACCAGGCACGGCGGCACCTGACGGCACCTGCAGCTTTACGTATGTGAGCAGCTCGAAGAAGCGTGGCGAACTCAACAGTCCGCGTTATCCCTCCAACTATCCGTCAGACACGAACTGTTCCTATTTGTTCTTGGCCGAGCACAACGAGCAGGTGACCATTGTATTCGATCACTTCAAGGTCAAGGCGGACAACAATGCGAACGCGACGGCGGGTTCCTATGGGTAGGTTAACCATCATCAACTACAGAATTAACTAATGCTAATCTTGCTTGCATTTTACTTACAGTTCGGGTGCCTGCTTTGAGGATTGGCTGGAAATGTATGTGGTGTATCGAGATAATAATGATCGTTTGCTTGGCCGCTATTGTGGACTGACTGCACCCGGACCCGTCGAGAGTCCCCGTGGCGCTGTTGGTCTACGCATCACCTTGCACACTGACCAGTCGAGCGTTGCCAGCGGTTTCAAGGCGCGCTACTTCTTCGAGTCAGCCAAATCCGATGCGGGCGACTGTGGCGGCAACTTCAGCAACGAGGACTCGGGCATCATCACCTCCCCGAACTATCCAGCTGGCTACAAAGCGCCCGGTCGCGGCATGGCCTCCAATGCATGCAACTGGGTGATGACCGCACGTGCCGGCTACAAGTTGTCCATCAACTTCGAGCAGTTCGGCCTCGAGGGCGATCCAGCGAGTAAGTGAAATAACTAATACTATAACAATTAAAAAGTGATGACTATAATTTTTATTATTGTTTTTTAAATTCTTTAATTATTGTTTTATTATTTTAGATCGTGGCTGCCCCGCTGCTGTGCTGCGCATGTGGGTAAATGTCGATTCGGATCAGCCGCCCGTGGAGCTGTGTGGCGAAAAGCCGCCCATAGAGCATTGGCATTATATATCCACTGGCCAAACGGCGCGCATCAGCTTCACCACCAGCGACAAGACCGTTGGTGCATCTGTGAGTATTGTGGGTGGGGTGTTATTTATTTTAATGCGGAAGCGGAAGTATTTTTTTATTAGCAATTCCCGTATGTTTGCAATTGAAAAACTAATTAATTATTTAATGTGCGCAGGGCTTTCGCATTGTATGGACTGAGATACAGGATTCGGGACCGGGACCACCATCAATTGGGCTGCTCTGCGAGTCCACGTATCACTTCCAGTGCGCGGCAGGATACTGCATATCGGACAAGCTGCGCTGCGATGGTGTCAAGAACTGCGGTCCCGGCGATGATAGTGACGAATTGCATTGTGAGTCGTGAGTGAGTCGAACGGTTCAGTTCAATTTTTATTTTCCTTTTTGAGCTACTTACTTTTATACAATACTTATTTCTTGTTTTTTTTTTTTTATCGTTGAGTTTGTGTTTTCAGTGCGTCCAATGAGCGACCATGAAAACCGTATCCGTAATTGTTTTGTTCACATTTCATGATTTCCATTGAATTTGTCTTTCGATTTGAGATTGACTTCAGTCAAGATATAAATATTTTGTTTGGTTGTTATGCTTTTCATTTGTTTATAAAATCCACGAAAACTTGAACCCGACGAAACACTTGCTAAAAACTATATATAAACTAAATGTGCTAACTAATCCAAATAACGTATTACTAATATTAACTAAATTAACTCAGAACTTAAACCTTTTGAGCTCTACAAACTCAAAGCACCAAAATTAAAACAGCTCTGTATGGTTTTTCTTTTCATTATTCTTTTATTTTCATGGCCAGATATTTTGTACATAAAATTTACAATTCTTTAAAATTAAGGTTCATCTGTTCGAAAATTCACCCCAAGCTATGCATAAGTATTATTCTACCTACACACTTTTGTTGTCCTTAGTCGCAGTTCCAACATATCAAATGGCATACTTAATCGTACAATACAAAAACTAAAAAAAAAACTAAAAAACCTAAAACCAAAGCGCTCTCAGTAATATCAACAGTAAAACCCACACTAAAATCTATCTCTTTCTCACATATCTTCTTCTATTTCTCTCTGTTCTTTCGTCTATCTTTTATATACTTTCTCGATGTGATTTTCCACTAAACTAACTATAAAAAAAAAACAAAAACTAACAATCTTAACTAACCTGCCTAACATTTTCAAACTCCTCAATATCGAAAACAACCCGAAAAAAAAAACAATATCCGTGATATTCACACAGGTGACGCAAACTCCACGCATTTGCCCACATTTCTACAGACATTTGTTTTAGCAATTACGGCATTAGTCTTGAATACGTACAACTAAAAAAAGTAAAAAACAAAAAAGTCAAATGAAAAATTAAAACAATGAAATCAACAATTTTAAATTGTATTGCTAAATCAAAGGAATTTCCACGAAAATCAAAAGTGATGCAAACTATTACAATAAAATAACAGCAAACAAAACAAAAAAAACAAAGAAAATCAAAAAAAAAAAAAAAAAACATCGCAAGAGTTTTTAATAATTTTTCTATGCATAAGTTACACGCCAAGTAAATGCTAATGTATAAGAATAAGAAATACATAATTCTTTTGGTCACATATAACACGTGAGTCCTGCATAAACTTGTCTCAAATCGCTGCACACGCCCACAACGCCCACAATGCCCACAAGCCACAATCACGACACACATGCACAGTACCCACTTAAATGAGCCACTCCACCCACCCTCCACCACCACTCTCAAAACACAAACGACTTGTTCAAATTATGCATCGTTCTAAAAAGACATAATGTAACATATAATATAGAGTACTTTATCCAAGCTAAAGTCCCAACGTTTATTATTTTTTTGTTGTTGCAAATTTCGCTTTGAAATTGTTAGAAGGCATGCCAATGGAAATTTCGTTATTTTTCTGGCTTTTTTATGTTGTGCACCCGCAATAACTTAAATACTGAATCTTAAACTGAGCTGCATTCCTAACTATTATCCCTAAAATACAATCTACTAATATGAGAAAAACACAAAACTTCAATGCCAACACATCCACTGCACAGCAGTACAGTAATAATAAGAACATTATCTGTCAGTTAGCTAGATATTCATTCATACATTATCTAAATAACATTTACATTAATCATAATCGCAGAGTTTAAGAGCTGGCTCTCTGATAATGTGTATGATTTTATAGCTAAAAATACATATGTATTAACAAAATTTTTCGATTTGTTTTGTACTTTGGTTTATTTACGTATTAATTCCTGAAACAGGTATCACGGAAGCGGCCGAGGAGGATCACGACGTCCTAATTATAATAACACTAGTCGTCGTCTCGTCCCTAATCTGTCTCCTATGCACACTCTGTCACTCCAGAAGAAAACGTAGAAACCATGTGCGTCAATTGGGCTTACACCGGAATGCACATTATGACTCGCAGACGAGTGCAACGGGTAAGGGATCGTTTTTCCAATGGAACCCATTGAATTCAATATTATGTTTATATTTTCGTGTTTTAGGTTTTCTTTGATTTCTGTTTAATATCTTATCGTTTCAAAGGTAATTATTATTTTTTTTTTTTGTTGAGTTCACTTTACATATCCATTATGAAACTGCAACGTTTTGATTTGTTGAATTATTCCCCAGCTGGTCTCAGTTCGAGTCGGCGGCATTTACAGAGTGGCGGACCAAGTATTGCTGGCAGTCTGCACGGTATTAATAGTGGCACCTTGATCATTCCACCCGCTCCACTGCCACCCACAAGCGTGCCACCGCCACCACATATATGTATTGCCGGAATTGATATGTCACACGGTCTGATGTCCAACGACGAGGACGATGACGACGATGATGACGATCTCGATCTTGACGAGGACCAGCTGGCGTCGGACATATTCATAAACGATGTGCATTTCGACGAGGATAATATCGACCATGTAAACCAAATGGCAAACGTTTAACTATGTTTTTTAAGCATTTTTATCGCTAGTTTCACTTCCGCTGTAGAGCGCTTTAGGTTAAGCCTTCGCAAAAGGGCACATAAGTAAGTGAGTAAGTGAGTAATGAATAAGATGAGTACGAAGAAGAGCTGTGCGAACTTCTGGTGGAGGATCGCAGTGGTTGAATGTTTGTATACAGACTGCGACACTCAGCAAATTGAACTTGAACATCAAGAACAACAAATTCAAAAGTTAACAATACCTAAAAGACGAAAAATTATGCAAAAGTGCGAATTGATTAAGACATAAATTTAATAAGCTATTATCGAGGCGCAAGTAAACGTATAAAGTACAGTAGGGCGTAAACATTGTAGTAGCGATTAACGATTAACGATAAACGATGAACAAAAAAGACAGACAACAAATAATAATTACATTTAATTATACATACATACTATATTATACACATAGCGACTACGTATGACAGGAAAATGTGAAAAACCACTTTGTTGGTTTGAATCGATTGAAAAACCAAGCGGCAAACATGTAAAGCATTGCATTTTCTTAGCCACAAGAGACCGCAAAAAGTTGTTGATTTTTATATTTGATACGAGTAATATTTAGGTGAGGCATAAATTGAATTAATTATACAACAAAACCAAAACAAAAAAAAAAAAAAAAACAAAAAGAAAAACACAAAGCAAAACAAATGAAAATAATACACATTCACACGAATAAATAAATTTGAACGCAAGCAAAGTATAAAAAAAATCTACTTATTAAAAGGCATAAAACAATAACACAAATACCTATAGTATATCTATACTGGCGAGAATAAATTTTATTTACACTTTTTTTTACAATAAGCAAAACACTCTCAAACACAAACACAACTTTACATTTAAAGTTTAATTTAAGTTAACCAAAATCACAACGTTTTTAACAATTACATACATACATACATGAAAAATGCATAAATAAAAGAATTAGTGACTATCAAACCTGTATCTTCCAGCAAAAGTTAAACGCAAAATCCTTTAATTGAGAGATTTGTATAAATAAATAAATAAATTTATGAATACAAATAAATTTAGTAGCGCCATTTGTCGTGCGCTCCGAATTCCAGAAAAAAATTTATAAATTCAAAAGATTTTTGTCTGTTTAAGCACATTTTTATAGACGTTTAAAGGGAATGTTGCAGCGACATTAAGAAAAAAACAAACAAAACTATTTATAAAAATGTACACGCTAAAGAGAACGATAATAAACACTTATACAGTAAATTAAAATCCAAAAATTAACATTACACAACTAACAACTGATAAGAAAATTTAATCATTTGTGCCCAAAGTAAAGGATAAAAAAATGTATTATTTTCCCCTATAAGTTATTATTAAGTTGATGTATTCTTTTCATATTCTTCCCAAAACAATGAGTATAAATTGAGTATACATTTTTATATTATTTTGGAATACTGCAAACATTGAATAATGATAAATCATAGATGAAAATTTGAGAAAATAAAAAAGTTATTGGTTTCATAGCGCTCGTACGTTTTGCATAAAACAAAAACTTAAAAAAAAGCTTAAATAAATGAGAAAAACTTATAAACAGTTTGACGTAAAAATCATTAATAATAAAAGTATGTAGGTGTTTAATAAAAACGTAATAAATAAATCAAACACATTGAACAAGTAAAACGTTGTTAAATTGTTGCAAAATGCATTAAGATCAGCTATTTAATAAGAGATAATACATTATTTTGAAATAATTTCAAAATATAAATAAATGAATATTTAGTTTAAGTGTATAAATTTTGTTGTTGTATGACTTTAAAATGAACCCCAATTAAATTAGTTAATTAAAAAATTGAATTTGTGTTTTAGCAATAAAAACAAACATAAATTAAAAACCTATTTACTAAAAATATAAAAATTAAATAAAAAATGTTCAAGAAACACACGGCAAATCCCCGTAAAATGTTCTAAGCGTTTACTAAACAAAACACAAAGTTAAATTAAACAAGCAAGTGTTAAATTTACAATTAAATCTATAAATAAGCAAGGCAAACAAACAAAAGAAAAATAAGATATACTAAACAATATGTAAAGCCTAAACCAAAAACAAAACCAAACCCAAGCGTATGCATTGGCATAGAGCGCTGCGCTTTAGCAAAAGATAGTTGATTAAAAAGCAAAATTTTAAAATTGAACAAAAACACCTACAAAAACAATTCCATGTTAACATTAAATATAAATAAAGGTAATTAAATAAATGAATACTAAACCAAAATCGAAATAGGACAATTATTTAAAAGCTATTATATAAGAACGTTCGCTTCTGGTTCATAGCTGTGCCATTTTTATAAACATCAGGGAAGGACATATATTTCTGAATCCATAAGAAAAAGGACAATCGATTAAAATTTGGTAAGATATATCGAAATGTGGACTATCCGAATGTCAGAACACAGATACTCTATAACGTGCAGAATCGAATAAAGCAATAAAAGGACGAAAGTTTTTAAAACAACTAAATTGCTTATAACTTTGTCAAACAAACTGTCTTGACTAGGACTACCAACTAACCAAAGGACGTCCAAATCGTTCCTGTAGTTTTGTGATTTCGACTCATTACTTTTAACCCTGCCAGTCAAATTTGTACAGGTGTTTAGGGTTTTAGATGATCGCATAATTATTCAAAGCAGCTCGATGGAGATAGATCTTGCAATTATAACACACCATGTTCTTTGAAAATCTGTAAGAATATGACCGAGTTAGACACATTTTGCATATCACCTGAATGTTCCTCAAAGTATGCTACAATTTTGATTGCACGCTACCCAGTACAACAACCCAATTGGTGTGACTGGTACGTGCACTCGCTATTCTAAACGCAGCCTGTAAGGAGTAAGATGTAGAATAATCGACAAACTAATTTTAGTATACGATGCGTTTATTTTTACCAATAGATTTTGTCCTTGTTACTTACGTACTAAATATTTACTACGTGCTTAGATAACTAAACATCAGTGGTAAAAACTGCAATTTCTGTTTAATTTGAGGCATACATAGAATAAAATTTCACCGCGTATCGGTGATTTATAGAGTCGCACAAAAATGCAATAATAAATGTGGTTGTAGTTTAGTTTTGTGAATTCAAACGAAACTTGTCCAACATTTTGTTGATGGCCTCAGCATCGCCGTCTATTTTAGCCCTATCCTGCTCCAATATTTGCTCAAACGTCTTTTGCTTAGTGCCAACCAAATAAAAGTCCTCATCAGCTATGGTAACCCGACCATCGGCGTCAGGTGCCTTGCCTTCATAAATGTCCAGAGCTTTGAAATCAAAGACTACAGTGAGACGACGGTCAGCGGGAATAACACAAAGCGAACACAATTCCAAAAACTCACCCATGCTTTTGATAAGTATGCCATCGCTGTCCGTAAAATTGAACTGAAATGTGTTGACTACAGTTCGTTTGCCGGGATCCGACTCCTTTAGCTTATTGCGTATTTTCTCAATTATTTCGTCGCTTTTCATACTGATCGAGGCACAAGCGGACCGGTTGACTGCAGTTGCTTGACTAATTCAAGTCTGGAGACCAATTGAAACGAAGACAGCGGATTACCGCAACCGTTATCGTCATGGCTTTGCATAATTCTTAATTAAAGTCAATTTGTTTAATATGAACATGATTGACGATATTGATGCAGGGCATGAGAAAATCTAAACTTGGCTGATATTGCAGTGCAGTTAAATTAAATTAAATTATTTTGACAGGTAAAAATCTAGGAAAACTATATAAAATTTAGCAAGCGGGAAAGCTTAACTAATCTATGGCTTCCATAACTTCAGCAGACCATCTTCACTATAGCTGGCCAGAAGATTCTGGTGTGGGTGATGGGTTAGGCCAATAACGTCTTTCTCGTGTACCTAATACCATAGAAAAATGTTAAAGCGACTTTAGAAATATTACAATACATACGTTTAAAGTACGCTCCAGCTTGCCCGAGGAAACCGAGAAACAGTAGAGCACTTGATCCTCTCCGGCACAGTAAATGAATTCTCCTCTAGGTGATAGGGTTGCTGAGATAAAGGCGCCGCCCTCGCGCTTACCCGACGAGAACGATCGTACAATCTGTCCCTGCATGTTCATAATCACAACCGTGTTGGATCTATTGCAGACGATGAAATGCTCTGGATTCTTTGGAAGTATAAGCACCGTGTTAACGGCGAGCTCGTTACCCAATGGTTTGTACGTAGCCACGCATTCTGTGGTCTTTAGCGACCAGACCTTCACTGTGCCGTCGGAGGATGCGCTTAGGACACTGTGGCCATCCGGTGTAAATGTAGTCTCATTGACAAATGACGTGTGTCCCTTGAACTCCTTGAGCATTTTACCGGACTTGAGGCCGTGCAGCCGCACAGTGTAGTCAAAGGAAGCACTGAGAACTTGGCTGTTATCGCGCGAGAACTGCAGACAGGTAATGCCCTTGGTGTGTGCCTTTTCGAACTTGCGCAGGCATTGGCCAGTGATGATGCGCCACACCTTTATCTGGCCGTCCTGTGCGCCAGATGCAACCATCTCAGAGTCACGAGAGAAATTTAATGCCAGCACGGCTTTTTCCATCATCATGAACTGGTCCTGTGCTTGGTATTTCAAATCCTTACGTACTTTGCCAGTGGTAAAGTTCCACACTTCGAGAAAGCCATCTACACTGCCAGTTATCAGATACTGTCCGTCTGGTGAGAACTGTGCACATTCTACATGTGACTTTTCACCGAATTTGATCTGGCGGAACAGCTGCGTTGGATACATTTCCTCCTCCTGATCCTTCATGGCTGCTTTGCCACGGAACAAATCGATAGTGGTGCCGGGTGGAAGGAGACCCTGATGCTGTTGCCACTTAAGCGCCTGGCCAAGCAACGCCAACAGCCTTGAAGAAGGCACCACATGCACCTCACCACTCAATTCCTGGGCAATTGCTGTTCGACGTTTCTCCTTGCTGCTGCCCTCCGCATATGCCTCTCGGGGATCGAAATACGCACGCTGCAGCATGTTTTCTGAGAGACACAACCATTTTATTTATCTTTACAGAAAAATAGTATTGAGTATTCACTCACCTAGGTGTATGTATCGCTCGGGCTCATGCTGCTTCAACATGCTCATTGGATCCGTTTGGCGAAGTAACGAACGGGCGGCGCCCAATTCTCGCAACTCTATTAGTTCCAGTACAATTTGCTCGTAGAGATTTAGAAGCTTCTTGTCGGGAAGCTTCAGTGACTGCGTTACCTTGAGCACTGTATCCCAGTGTCCATTCGAGATATCCTGCACAAAGCCATCGACGCTGTCAACAGTATTGAGTGAGACGCCAGTTTCCTCCTACAACATTGCCTGTTACTAAAATAATTTGGGCTAGGAACCGGAATCTTACTTGTAAAGTTTGGAGCGTCTTAAGTAAATTGGATTCCTTCAGATATTGTTGAATTAGTCGTATCACGCTGCAAGGAGACGTTTAGAAAATAGACTATACAGCGAACTAAATTGTGCACTTACTCTGCAGATTCTATTTCGATAGACATGATCAGAGTAAATTCGCTATTATTCTGTTTTATTTACAATTAATACTTCCAATAAAAAACGCGTCTTATGAGAACTGTGCATTGATGAGAACAAGTTCTTTCGAATCACTGCGTGAACGACTAGTTCAATAGTTCATTGTTAACAGTTTGTTTACCTGTTAATAATAGCCGGTGTTCATTGTTTTTTAAAAATACATTTAAAAATAAGCTTTTGCTGAAGCAATTTGGCGTAAAAAATTACATGAATTCTCGCCGCAATCTATTTTGTAACAATTATGGTTTAACTGAACATTAGTAAACTGATAACAGGCGCAATTTAATATCGATAAATTGTATTAACACCGATAGCTCGGCAGTCGGCTACAGCTGTTTTAGTCTTCTTCTTAACAAACGCGTTGAACATCTTTGCATAACATCCAGGAGCTCGATTTGTTTGCAAATTAAATCAATTAAAATGTCAAAAGCAGCCGGTAAACTAAAATCACTCAAAAAGACAGTAGATCGTGTGACGCACACGACCAAACTGAAAACAAATATACCCGCCGGCATGGCAGCAGCAGGCCCGCCATTGGGTCCCATGCTGGGTCAGGTGGGTATTTAAATTACACTGGTTCTATTATATATATGATATGTGTAATTCAATAGCGTGCAATCAACATTGCTGCCTTTTGCAAGGACTTCAACACGAAAACAGCCGAAATGAAGGAGGGCGTGCCACTACCGTGTCGCATCTCAATGAACAGTGATCGCAGCTACGATTTGGTCATACATCATCCTCCAGCGACTTTTTTCCTTAAACAAGCAGCGGGCATCCAGCGGGGCACGATGACACCTGGTCGTGAGGTTGCCGGTATGATTACCCTAAAGCATTTGTATGAAATTGCGGAAATCAAAATACAAGATCCACCAAATGCGCTCATTACGATGCAGGTAAGCAGAATGATCTAACCAACTGAGATGTGTTGAATTGATTCTGATTTATGCGCAGCAAATGTGCGAGATGCTCATTGGCATTGCCCGAACTTGCGGCATCAAGGTGGTGCGACACCTTGACTCCACGGAATATGCTCAGTTCCTCGAGGAACGCAAAGTTATTGTCGAAGACCAGCGGCGAGAGCTACAGGAAAAACGTGAGGCTAAGATGTTGCGAACGGGTTAAATACACAAAATGTAAAACACAATTTTAATAGTTAATATACATTTATAACTAAGCTGATATTCTATTCTATGCTAATGCGCTTGCGATCCTTGGCCGCGTTCTTTTTGCGTCTCTTTTCCAGATGTTTATTCAGTTTCCCAGCATCTTTCAGTCGCTCGAATTGAGCAACCAATTCCTTGGCGCGCCTTTCCTCTGCAATTGAAGATGTGATTAGCTGCCGTTCATTCATATTTTAATAACAACTTACTCTTTGTAATGTAGTGCGGTTGCCGTCCCTCATTGTGCGCTTTCTGTATCTCTTCGCGCTCCTTCTTTAACAAATGCTGCTTGTGGTGCCACTTTTTGTCTTCCACATTCTTATTCACAAGTCTTTGCATAGTATGCTTGATTTTCTGTTTCTCCTCGCCGTCCCGCACTTTGTCCAGCTGTTTCCGCAGCTGGACAACCTCTTTGTCACGTATATTCGTTACGAATTCGTAGTTCTTCTTGAAAGTATTAATGTCATAGTTGCCCGACTTTTCGTCGAAACGCGGATCGCGTAGTTCAGTCTCCTTTTTACGCTCCACTCGCAGCTCTGCGCCCAAAAAGGGCACCTGCCGTTTTGAACTGATTTCACGAGGCCGATTCTTATTTAATCGTTTGAGCTCCAATTTTGTTTTTGGCTGTTTTACCTTGGACCTTTTACCGCCCAGTATCGCTTCCTTGTAGACCTTCGCGCCCAATTGTTCCTTGAGATGCATTACCTCTTCGAAGGTCATCCCTTTAAGATCCTCGCGAATAGCATTCTGTGTCAAAAGCAAATCTTGAAATTTCATGTGTTTGGCATATTCCAACAAATTATTTACCTGCGTCTCATCGTTGTTATCTGTATCGTGGTCAGATGCAGCCGAGGACTCGCTTGATGATGCCATTATCAACAGCCGTTCGTGTATATAATATTATTTAAAATAAATTTCACGTGTTTTGTTGTTATTATGCTTCACGAGCCGATTACACTATCGATATATGACAAGCAACAACAAAAACTATCGATATTAACAAGGCGACCATTTTACCATGCATATTATCTGTTGTCAATGTTAGTTCACTGATCTGGCAACGCAGTAAAACGATAAATTGGCGCTAAAATAAATTATTTTAAAAATATTGAAAGGTGTCAAGCGCAACAAAATCAACTGTCAACAGTTGGTCGCATGTTGTTCTCTCATTACTCGCATGAATAAGTTCACGTGCACAATAACATTGACCTAACTCTCCTCACATAAACGTAAACATCAGTAAAAACTACAGGGGGTGGTATATTGATAACTATTACTTACCTTTAAGGCAACACATACCCGCCGTTTTTTTTATGGCCGATGACTGGGGTTCTTACACTCGCGATTTGTTTGCATTGCATTTGTAGTCTGACGAAGGGCTGGGTCAAAAAGACAGCGAAATCTAAAGCATTTAACGGTCATGTGACTTTTAGTTAAACATACACAAAAGGTAGTTTGAGTTTGTGTGAGTGTGTGTGTGGCACATGCCAAGCGTTCATTTAGAAAGTCATCGGACAGGAGCGTTTCACAGTATTTGACCGCCCAGAAGTATAATCAATTGTCGATATTAGATCCTAAAACTATTTTTTTTTGGAATTAGAATTTGACCATGGAAAGATTTATTGTATATTTAATTTTAAGGAATAAAAATTGTTAAAAATCTCAAATGTGTATTGAATACTTAATAAGTTTACTTAAGCTGGATGGTATTTAATGTGAGAACATTACTTGACTCACACGTGGGAGTATTCCGTTTCAGCAGGCGACCCTACGAGTCATGTCCATTCACCAATTACTCGCGTTTATGTATCGCGCCATTCGCTGCGTTGTCCTTAATTTCTTAAAAAGCGTTTAAACATCTAATGAAAGCATTTGGCCTGTGTGATTTTCACTGTCTGACAATTTAGTTGCGTTTGGAGCTTCGTTGAGTGCGGTTCGATTAGAAGTTAAGCGTCTCCTTTTGGCCTTATTGGCGGATTCTAACGGTTAGCGAAGGAGCTGAGGGCCCATGGTGATGATGATGTGATCATGGCCAAGATTATATCAACTATTAAGGCAATTCTAACGCGCATCATATTCAGCGCGCACAGTTTGTTGGCCATTTGGCAGGTGACGACATTCAAGAAGGATATAATCTATTGGACACTATGTGGTCCACTGCTGCTGCTGCTGCTCGAGGGCATCTTTACTATAATGATCAAGAAGACGCAAGAGTGGCGCTGGTAAGTCGGCATATCCTGCCAATTACCTATATACATATATCGTGTATATATCTAGTGGAAGGCAATGTAAACAAAAATCTGCTGATACTGACGTCATGTTAGCGGTTTTGATTTTCAATTAAAAGTGAAATCATGTGTTTAATGTGTGTGTGTGTGTGTGCCCAGTTCGAAGTGGGCAGACCAAACTTCCCCTTCAAGACCAGCTTGCCACAACGACCACTCCTCCAGACAAAAACCACCCACGCTCTGTTGTAGTAAAAACTTTAATGGAATTTCACTTTTGTGCCTTAGTTTGTGTCTTTCGCTAGATGTTTACTTTTTGGCGCCTCACTTTTACCTGTTTGTTTGTTTTGGACATTTGCTTTTGTGCCATGAATCCTTATGCCTCCCTTCTTCGTGCAGGTTCTGCCCCTCGGTTTTTCTCTACCTGAGCAGCATTGTGCCGGCGATTTGGCTACTCGAACTGGACAAGATTGAGCGGCGACTCCAAGTGATAAATGCCTCAATGGCGATTGTAAATGCCAGCATCGCCAGCAATGACAGCAGCCTCATCAGCAGTAGCACCACCCACTCCGCCGTCCACACCGCAACAACTACCCCAAACAACAGTGCAATTGTACCAGTTGCAGATCTATTAGATGATGCTGGGATCACGTTGCCCGTCATCAGTCCAGATACGTGGACGACGCTCATCGAGCAGTTCCTCATGCTAGTTCTGATTCTCGGTCGCTGGCTGTTGCCCAAAGGCGATCTAACACGCGATCAGCTCAGTCAGCTGCTGTTGGTTTATATTGGCACTGCGGCGGATATAATCGAGTTCTTTGACTCCTACAAGGATGATTCGATAGCACGCATTGGTTTTTTGGTCTTCCTCACTCTGGGAATTTGGTCCTGGAGCCTAATGCAATTTACGATTGTGCTGTCTGCAACACGAGGTAGACGACCTCGTGGCAGCGGCTCTCATCACAAAGAGGAGTGAGTCCATTGAACTCGTAAGCCTAACAATCAATACAATTCCATATCTTACAGACAAACGGATTGCTGCCAAAACTGCTGCTGCGGCATTGATGTTTGGGGTACGTTATCAGCACATAAGCAAATACACAAAAATTGATTTATAGCGGAGAATTTATAGACAAATTCATAATGCGTTTGAATCTATATGTAGACGTATGTATGTATTTATGTTTAATAACAATATATTTCTACAGGCATAGTGCTGAATGTCATACTGCAGGATGCACCATTTCTTACATTCCGCTTACTGATCATATTCCAATATAAGATCATCAACTATATGAACGTGTTTTTCACCTGTGAGCTATAAAAAGAAAAATCAATGTGGTAAATATATATTTATTGAAGCATACTTCTACCATTTGGCAGGCAAGAACTCCTTGGTCATTATACTCCAGCTGTACAGGCTGTACGTAGTCAACGCTGAATTCTGGAAGAGTCGTCGGGAGAGTAGAATGGATAAGGCGCGTCAATATCAGTCGCGTCGACGGGTTCACGATACGGATCAGAACAGCATCTATATGATATCCAATGAACGTGGAGGCGATGTCAAGAAGAAGATTAAGAAGTGAGTAACTCAATTAATACTTTATTAAAAACAAAAATAACTTACACTTCCCATGAACTATAGAGCCAAGGATAGAGATTTTGTGGAGCAAGAAGCCAGTTACAGCAAAAAGAAAAGAAACAAAAAGGACAAGTTAGTGAAATTAAAATTAAGTTAAATGAAATAATGAATTCAATGCATTTCATAGGAAAAAACGCAAACGCAAAGATACGGGATATTCGACTGCCAGCTCACAAAATCTGTACTCCACCAAGGCTAGCAACAAGGATAAAAAGGTTAAGAAGTCAAAGCGCAACTGCAGCAGCTCACCGAGTGACTGCGATCCGATCAAAGCCAAGAAACTGAAACGGGCTAAAATTGCCGAAAAAGCTGAGAAGAAGTAAATGGTTATCAAGTGTTGCCAAAAATGTGCCTCACTCCAATCCCGCTCTTTTAGAAAATCGCGAAAAATCGAAGCCGTTATTGAGGAATCAAGCAGCACAAGCAGCAGCAGCTCGGATTCGAGCAACTCCACATTGCCCAGCTATGAGGTTATCGATGAGAAGAAGTCACGTCGCCGCAAGCATGCTCGCATCAGTGACTCTAGCTCCAGTTCCAGCAGCTCGGACTCATCCTCATCATCGTCTTGAGCTTTGAGAAGAACTTTTGGACCAACGGCATTTTGAATGAGAATGCAACGTTGGGGCAACAATCAATTTTGAGACAGCCAAAATCCCATTTTGGCTGCGACGCTGATAAAATGCTATCGGTTTTTGTCTATGAGACCCATTTGTGAGGTCCAAAACTTTGTCAGAAAACATACATACATATATTTTCATATGTTTGCTAAACCAAACCCAAATTCAAATAAATTAAAATGGCGCCTTGATTTGCAAACAAGTTGGCAGCCGCACGCATACAAATTGGCAGTTCTCTTAGCTTTTTGCTTGTGCTCTCTTCCACTGCGCTCTGCTGAACAGCTCTGAAAAGCTTGGACATAGCAACGGCAGCTGATGGAAAAACTATAGCGTAAAACTTTTGTTGACACTCACAGATAAGCCAGCATGTGAGCATGAGAGTGCCTTTGCATATATGTACCTGATTGTATCTGTGTGCCCCAGAGATATCTGTGTATGGTTTTTGTAATAACAAATAGTTGCCGTTGAGCGTTCGAGCGCTGTGGACGCGCTGCGGGAAAAGCTTTTGTTTTTGTTCGAGTTAAAGTCTAATGTGAGTGTGCTGTATTATTGTACCCATTATATATGTAATGGTACATTTGTGTATAATATAGTATAACATATACACACACACACACACACGCGTGTGTTTGTAAGTTTATAAATTCTTATTGAAATCTGTTGAGCACTGTCGATCTCGTTTTCTCGCCCACAAGCACAATAATAATAACAAAAATAATGTCGCAGAATTTATAGTGCTTGTTGCTATCGTAGCGCAACAACAACAACAACAAAGATGATATAATTTATTGGTACAACAGTTGTCAAATCGACAACGTATCAAACTTAAATGATAATTAAACAGATGTGATTTTTAAATGAAATTTGACAAGAAGACGACAAAAAAAAGAAGACTTTAAACACGGAAATAGTTTGCAGAGCCAGTGAATTCATTAAGAGCTGGAAATTTACTCTAGTGAATGGTACTTGAGCAACAATTGAGATCAATTTATTACGCGCGTGTTTGTTTCTTTATTTATTTACCCTCACAGTGATATGCAGCGAGGCAAAGAGAGAGGGAGAGAGAGCAGAAGTGAGTGCTGCTCAGTGTGTTATCAGGCCAAAGAGTTGTGGCTCTTCTAGTCAGCTGTCCCGCATTGTGCCTGCAAATAATCGCATAGTGGAGTTTTCCAGCTGTTCGTAGACATACATATATCGTGCACACAAAACATGTTTCCACTAAAAAAAAAATAAAATAAAAAAAAAAAACTACATTATGTTAGTCGCAGACCGATGAACATTTCATTTGTGTTGCCCCTGCTTGGAGCTTTGTTAACACTCAACACGCGTGCCGAAGGTTAAGGCGTATTCCCTCAGCTAGCGTTAAGCTAGCACCCACAAATATCGCGTGCCGGTTGCCCAAAACAAAAACAATAAGAAAAAAAAAAAAAAAACAAACCGCAAGCATAATTATCAACAACATTTTGTTGCCATTATTATGGCATTTCTATATACACTCGTAACTCGTAACTTTTTGCCGGTTTGGGTGTTTGAATTTGTAATGGTTTCAAATGTTTTTTGACAGTACTTGCGACAGGTGTTTCTCGTGTGCTTTGTACATGTTTCGTTGTCTCACCGATAAGGGAATTAATTAGTACTAAGTGCATGTTGCATATATACATATAAAATGATTTCATAGCCGTTAACGGATTTGATCATAAATAAAGCAACTTCATTAAGCATTCGGACAGTGATCTTGATTCTGTTCCTCATGGCAGCAAGACAAAAGAAGAACAAGAATAAATACATATACTTTAATGTGTGTCTTATAATGTGGCATGATATTGCTTATATCGTATGATATTCTATATATATATATATATATATATATATATGTATGTGCCTACAGATACACACACCGTTACATATGTATTTATGTATATGCTGGCAGGTTTTGCATAACTTGTTTGAGATTTCTCGCAAAACAACTTCTATGTGAAATAAGTAGACAAGAGTAAACTGAGTTAAGCATGCATATTATTATAAAAATATTTATACTTAAGCACAATAAATGTGCTAATAGCCAAATTGTTCCGCTGCTTCTGTTTTAAATACCGGAAACCACTAATCTCTGACAAATCCGTATTAAATTATCTTATCTTATTCCTCATATATGTAAGTTATTTTTTTTACGCTAATTTACCTTCTTGCACTTCTCTTTGTTATTTATTTGGAAGCTTAAATTAAAATTATTATTCGATTTTATTTTATTTGTAATTTTTTTTTACGGAATTATTTATTTACTTCAATGTATTTCATGAATGATATTTGTATTTTCTTTATTCGATTCGCTTGCTTGCCCTAAATGCCCAAATATATATATGGTTGCCTTGAATATAACCATTTTAAAAAATAATAAAAATATAAAACAGCTGCGTAAGGCTATTTTCTTGATTCAAGTATAAATTCACAGCTGTTGTGTATTAAGAGTATTGATTTTTCGACTTAATGAATTTAGTGGCAAGTTCAAAACAAGACACTTGAGATAAATTAAGATAATTAAATTTAAATTGAATTCTCATTTAAGCTCAATAATAAATGCATATTTTAAAGTATATGGAATATTTTTACGAATTTCCTGGTATAAGATGCAAATCAGCACAAATTCTAAATTTGCATTGCATGTTGTTATCAGTCAGCTGCCAATAAAAAATTGACAATCATATTTGTCAAGGTCAAAGAATGCCTACCATTACGGAAAATCGCACTCAGTTCATTCATTCAATATATCTAACGTAATTACTCGAATCCAAGCGTATAAATTAGTTGTATTTGTGTATTGTGTCACAGTTTATTGCACACTTAACGCCTTCCCTTATGAACGTAAACATGCGAAGTTGTCTAAGGGCATGTTTACCTGAACCTGTTAGCCATTGTGGCATGCATTCTCATTTGTATATATTATTCGAGGCTCACGTTGCTGTCACATGCGACAACTTAGTTACCATGCTGAGCGGCTTCCGTGATTCATTGAGAGTCAATTTCTAGCCTATAAATGCTGGCACGCTTGCAGCTTGCCATCCAACGATTATGCAAAAAATTGCTATCAAAACAATCAGTAAACATAATTAATAACAATCACAATACAGTCGCAAGAAACGCTAGCCTTAATTATATATTACAATGTCTGGCGCTGCAGTTGTCGAGTGGCCTTATTACGCCGTATTCATTGATAAAAGATAGCAACAATAAAATAACCGACTGCAACAGCGAATGGCTCTTGACAAAGAATCGGAAAAGCGTTGCATAGATCGGCTGCCGTTTAAAGTCCACATGGTGCATGAGTAATGTGGGTACATGCACGTATCCGCCGCCTGCATTTCAACCACAAGCAACTAAGTAGGTTGGCCTCATAATCCCACCCAAAATAATACGTTTACTTAAATCCAAATATACGAATTGCTAAGCTTTGTAAAGCTTTCAAATATATTTAATTGCAAATGTGAGCATTCACATTCAGATATAGATATACAATCGTGGTTATCTGACAATTAGGTACAAGTTGGTTTCCATAATCCAGTCTAAATGTCAATATAAGCTTTAATGATTCTATATACACATTTAACGGCATACGCCATCTGAGATAATAAATTCTATATTAAAAATTTTTCATTTGTTAAGTTGTATATACGTTTCGTGGGTACAGGGTATACAAAAAACTGTACAGCCTTCACCTGTCTGGTGTAAATACAATTCGTAATTCATGACTTTTAGCCTTATATACTTATGCTAATCGTGATATGAATTCTTGATCGGAGATTCAATTTGAATAGTCTTCGCACGTGTAAATACCAATGCACTATTGCGACACGGTGTCAACCTGCTTATCGCAGACAACAATAAATTAATGAAACGCCCTCGAGCTGGCCGATAATTGATTCTACAAATGTACATATATATGACATATGCCTTCAATGGCTTCAGACTCTCTCTCTATTGTCAAAGTGCACAGACCCCAAAATAGATAACGGATATTATTCTGAGGGCATGTAAAAAAACAAACAAATACATAAAAAACATTTTGCTCAATTCCTATGCGCAATGATAATGATATAATTTGACGTCTCCATCTAAGTAATCAACTTAAGCGGGCCCAAAGTCAAGCAATTAATTTAAGTTCAAGAAAGAAATTGGACGTTTATAGACTCTTATGATAATGGGTTAGTGGTAAATGGTGGCTTATCAGTCGCACACGTTTTAATTGAATTAACAATGCAAAGAAAAGCGATAAAAATGATGATTAGGACATTTGAATATAGAATACCCTGCAGACAAAATTGTACTGATCAATTGCGGTTATTTTCATCATACCTCATTATTGTAATAGTAGCTGATTGAAATACATATACCTGTTACCGAGGAATGAAACTTAAGTACCTTAATTTGACTCGAGGGAGATGGCAAGAATATGCCCGATAAGTTGTTATGTTGTTATATGTTTGATTATGAAATCCCAGTAGAGGTTTATATAAATAATCATCAGATATACATAGACTTTCCTCACTTGACTACGGGGTATGCGAATTTAATAAGCAAATGGATAATGAATGACATTTCCCAATTAGGCACGACAAGCATGACTTGTGGGAGACGCGCAGAGATAAGAACTGATGAAGCCTTTTATGTGTTATCGCTTTATTGAATTCCCTATTTGTATTTATTGTGCGAGAACTATTGGCCATGTCGACAGTCAATTGACTACAATTGAAGTACTGCGGCGTGTGGCACTCAACTTGCTGTACTCGGTACTAAAAACTCGATACTCGATACTCGATACTTTTGTTTGGCGCATTTTTTTAATGGCACTCTGAGCACTTGGAGCTGTTTGCACAGTTAATCGTGGTGCCGAATGTGGTGCACATCCGTAACTGTAGCTGTAGCTGGGGCCTCGGCACCCGCCTGAAGGTGCTGTCCCACAGTTATACTCTGATTTGTATTGTGAGCGGTTCATTCGTCAACCCCCCAAAGAATCAAGTGTGTGTAAGTCGAGCCATTTAGCAATGAGTGGATGACGCGGTTCACCAACCCATTCCCCATCACTGCCCGTGCAAGCAATCATTGTCAATAGTGCTCAGTTGAGGTATTGTGTTATTGTTATGCGGCTGCTTCATCTGCCCAGTTTTGCATGTAAGTGCAAATGTCCAAATGTCAGTCGCAACTTGTTCGATGGTACAGTTATTGCAGTTTGTTGTTGTTAAACGTTATACACAAATATCTAAATATAGCAAAAACAGTTGCTGTATAAGCAAAGCTCATTGTGTGTGTGCCCTGCTGCTGGTCCTGCTGCTAGTGCTTCTGCTGCTGTTGCTGCTGATGCATGCCACACACTTAACAGCAACATGCAACAAGCTTTGCCCTTTTTGTGTCGTGACACACAATGACCCTCAACTTGAACCTTTCCACCGCGCTGTGGCATGCACCAAGCCACATAACAACTAACATAACGACCACTTGTTATCTAACCATTCTGACGTCTGCTTTGCTGATTGTCTAATGGGATTGCAGCCAAGCAATTAAAAATATGAAAATAAGCAGGTGCAACGTTGGCAAGAGCTGTGGGATTATCGTATTTATATTGATCGATATAAGTAAAATATTTGTTTAATTTATCTTAGGTTTTCTTTCAGTATTATTGGATAATATAATTATAAGATTCTATTATTATAGCCAAGGATCATAGGCCAGTTCTGTACTGAGTAAATTAGGCAAATAGTTTGTAACCTTAATTATATATTTAAATTACTTTAAAGCAACAGAGATCGGTTATCTTTAGCACGCCGAATATAGCATGCACTATTGCCCGGAGTCAAACTACCGACATACAAGTTTTAATCCGAATTACAACAGATTATTATTATTTTAATCGTCTCAAATTAATTTTATTTCTATGTTTCCTGTTTCACGCCTTGCTGCAAAATAAAGGGTTAAATTAACTTGCATACTGAGTCTCATTCTTCTCAATTAACCGCAGCTATATGATAAATTGGTTCGATGATAATGATCTTTTGTCAAAGTGTGAACAAACGGAGAGAAAAATGACTGAAGAATATATATTCCAGATGAGGTCAGAGATGTCAACTTCATTGAACTACAAATTTCACGACAAAATTAAAATACCCTCAACAAGGTTATTAAAATAAATATTATGTATGCATAATGTAATTTATTTTTATTTTTTTTTGTATTCGTGTGAACTTAAAAATCTCATTTTGTAAAATATTCTTATAAGCAATACTGTGTTCATAAATATTTCGGTATATATATAGTGCATAAGGTACATATACTGTACACACATCAATTTAATGAACTTTGCGTGCCAGTAGGTATTTAAGTTTCGGTCAGGTTTTTCTCAAATTCAGTTAGATTCGCGATCGTTTCAAGTTCCGACATCGCCTGCTTTTTTCAACTTTAAGCAGCTTTATATTCGTATGTCAGCTGATAGTATTTATATTTTTCTTTATAAATATTGATACTGTGAGCAGAAAATATCTTATGCAGCAGTATATACTGCAAAAAGCTAGTTAACTGCTAGTTACAAATATCTGCCCGTGCCACACGTCGCATGCGTGATAAAGTGGAACGTCATTGGGCCAGTGGATATATTTATTTACAGCTTGGCAATTGCAACTTAATTTTAAATGGTAAACAAATGTGAAAGACATAACACTGGTCATAGTTACACTACGTAAATGAGAGCAATGACATTGACACTGAAACAAGCAGGACTGAGTGCATATGATTAAAATACAATTCAATTCACATTTATTTACAGTTTAGCGCGCAGCTCTTGGCGGGCAACATGTTGAATTTGCGCTAATTGGCAGTCAGCCATTGCCAGAGAAAGCGACAGGGTCAAGAAAAAAGAGGGCAGCAAAACCATTTGTCATCTTCGAGCAAGCAAACAGGAAGAGCAATAGGAAACAATACCAATAATGTTTACGAGCACCGAAGCCCACAGCCAACACAGCGCTGAAATCAATATGAATAAAAGTAACAAGCCAGAAATACAAGACACAGAAGCCAATTACAACAGCAACAACAACAACAACAACAAACAAAACATTAACAACAAAAGCAACAGCAAAGACAACAACATCGGCTTATTGCTACACTCAATCGATGAGCATTACGCTTGTGACATTGCAATGATGCATATTGCCGAGGAAGTTGGCCAAAAGACGGCCCCAGAAAACACACTCAATTCAACTGAGAACGAAGTGGAAATCGATCCCCAAGAGGAGGAACAAGCAATTAACCAACTGGTGCGCTCCTCCAGCGGCAATGCGTTAATAGAGGCGTAAGTTGCCATTGCTTATATTCAAAAAAAGAAAGAAGAAATATTCAAATTTCTTATATTCCATTAGTGGCAACAACAGTGGCAGCATGCGTGTTGTCTTTGGCATCCTGGTGCGTCTGATGCTGCCACTAGCCCATAGTGTTGCCCGTGGCATTAAAGGAATTCGGGATGTGCACTTGCTACACAATATTGCCTCCAGCCGGCAGGCGCTGACCAATGTGGTGGCTTTCGCGGCAAATAACATATCGATGAATCTATCCTCTGTGCAAGGTAAGTGTTTGAAAAGAGTCAACTGAAAGCCAAGTGCAATTATCCATCGTGTGAAATATCATGCTCATAGCGTACCTCACAGCTTTTCATATCAAATGCATATCGCTCTATCCCCAAACTCTCTCGTTGACAGTTTCCAATCGTCTGGGACCTTTGCTCAATTTGCTCAAGTTGCGCAAGTCCCAAGATGGCTTGGAAAGTCTGCCCGATACGCTGACAACACCTACACCGATCACGCCCATAACGCCCACAACGCCCAGCAGCACACCATTGCAGCAACCGCCCATATATACTCTGCAAACTACAAGCAGCACTTGTTGCACTCTCAACGTTCTTGCCGCACCGCCGCCTGGCACTCCCATTCGAGCGGACATAGTGCTCGTCCATGGCCTGCACGGATCGCTGGTGAACACTTGGCGTCAGGGCCTCTGGCAGAACGAGCGGCATCCGGTGGAGTTTGATCGTCCGCCGAAGCCACCTGTTCGTCCACCCAAGCGTCCGCGTCATTTACGCACTGCCACCATACATCCAGCGCCGCGGGAGAAGCGTGCCAAACTTGCCTCCTTCAAGGAAGTCCCGGACACAGATGCCTCAAGTGATAGTACTGCTTGGCAGCAGACACAGCCGCAACAAATACCTGATCCTCGGCCATATCCCTTAAATTCTTCTGATGATGACAGTGCCGAAGAGTGAGTAACATTTAAATATATGTGAATTTATGGAACAATTCAAAAATTAACTTGTCAACTCTTTCTTTCCATAGTTTTGCCTATGTCTGTGGCGAACCGGAGGATATTCAATTCTGTGAGGGCATCGAGTACAGCTTCCCAACATTTCGTGTGCGCATGCATGACAACAATCGCCTGTTGCAGGTCGATTTGGAGTCCATGCTGGAAGCCGAGGCCAATGCTAGTTCCAGCACGGAGAGCTCACAGTCCGCCAAGTCGCACAAGACGATTGGCAAAGGCAAAAGGAAACCATCTGCCAATGATCCCAACTACTCCAAATGCTGGCCCGGCGATTGGCTGCCCCTGGACTGTCCAGGTGTCAGGGTCATCGCTGTCAACTATACAACGGACCCGTATCTATGGCGTCCGCTCTGGAAGAGAAAGGAGCCGCGCTCCAGTCTAATACAGCGTTCGCGTGAAATGGCCTCGCTGCTTATGCAGCATCGTGTTGGCCATGGTCATCCGATCATCTATGTGGGCCACTCGAAGGGTGGCCTGTTCATCAAGCAGCTAATTGTCGATGCCTGGGAAAGTGGCCGGCCAGCAATGCGGCCTCTTTGGCGCTCAGCTCGAGGCTGTTTTTTCTACTCTGTGCCGCATCGTGGCTCCCACTTGGCCTCCATTAAAGCGCCGCTGCTGTCGCGCTCTGTGGAGCTGCTGGAGATCGAAAAGAGTAAGATAAAGCTATTAATATACATTTAAATCCTTGCAGAATTCATTTTGAACAATCTTTTAATTAATTTGTATTGTAATTTAATTCCCTTTAGGTGTTATTCATCCAATCATCCAATTATATTTCAGTTAAAAATCAAAAATGTTATATTTATATATTAAAATGAAGCACATAATTTTTTTTTAGACAACAAGTATCTTCTGGATCTGCATCGACGCTTTGCTGGTCTCTATCATATGGGTCATTTGAAGATCGAGGTATTCAGTTTTGTGGAGACGGCTCTGACACTTATGTCTGTGTTGTTTATGCGTATTGTAGGCGTCGATTCCGCCGGTAAACTATTGGTTTAGCTATTGATTAGTGCCCAATTGAACAATTCGAAATGAATAATCGGTTTTTTACATTGATTACAGATCCCGGTTTCGGGGAGGTGTGCGGCATTCGGTTGGATCATCGGGAGATTTGCAAGCCGCGCAGCCGGGAATGCATTCTGTACAAAGAGCTGGTGAAAATGATAAAGAAGGTGTGCTGACCGCCCCGTCACTTACTATAGGATAATGCACCAGGACCTCAATAAAGTGAAATCGAAATGTGAATGGGTTTAGCAACTCCAAGTTGCCCGATAATTATACGTACCTAAACTATAGAGTTATATGGTCGTTTTTCTTGCTATGGTGCAAAGTATAAACACTTTTTTTTTTTAAATCCATTATCGCTTTGAATGTTTACAATTTGTTTTCGTATGTAAGTCACAGTCACAGTCAAGATGCGTTTAAGCATGCCATTTAGCTCGTAAATTTCACCTCATACGATTAAAGTTATGACAATTTATGCGATTTTGTATTGTGATCATTTGTTCAATTAGTTATGATGTGATCATATACTATACAGGTTTTATATATGTACCATAGCCAATAGATAGCTACCTTTGTATACACATAAATATAAAGAAAAAAAATGTATATTATAGAAATGGACACCGCTGTTAAACGTAACCAACGATTTCAACTGGGTGGACATTTTTCTTATGATATTGCCCATTTGATATTTAATGTTAACCTGATAAGTACTGAAACATACTGATGATTGTTAACTAAGCAACAAAAGATATTGTATATAATTAATAAACTAATACGTTCAAAATGATCATTGAATAAAAATGCATAGAGTATAGTATGTTTTGTCTCATAACTTAGTTTTAATATATGTGTTTTGTTTTGTTTTGTTTTTCTTTTTCTTTCTAATAGTTAAGGTTGCTTTTCCAGCGTTCTTCACCTTTCTCACGTACATAAATCATCGTTACATTTTATTAGACTCTGTAGCCGCGCTAATTGCTGGTTGGTATGTGAAATTACTTGCACCGAAAACTTTAACACGATTCTACATATATATATATATATATATATATATATATTTATATATATATAATATATGTATATGCCAGCTTAGTTTCTACATACAATACAATAATATTTCTGTAGCATATACGATGTATATAAATTACATAAAAAATACATTAGTTTGTTTGTTTGTTTTTTTTTTTTATCTATCGTTCGATTTCTGTTTAGCATTTAAGCAATTTCGCATATAAACATGTTGCGGATCGGGGAACGAATTAAATACATATATATGTTTATAATTTAGTTATATAATTTCCACTCCACTAATGAGGTATACAGAATGAGGACTTAAAACCCAAACTAAAATTACGTATCAAACATGCTTAGTTAAAATAATGATTAGGATCAGCATTACCAAAGAGTTAAGAACATAATTTGCTTACAATTTTAGTGGACTCTTAGTTATTGATTGGTTTTTCGTTAGCCAAACCTATGCAAAAGTCGCAATACGCATTTCCATGCCATCAAATAATTCATTTCATTTTTATTGTTTTCGCGCTTAAATATTTTAAACATTTATCACATCCACTTACACAGCGATCACAATCGCAGTTATTTTTCTTAATTTCACTTTCTCCTTTACTTTTTTTTCATTTAATGTGTATTTCTTATGAGCTAATTTCATATATTGTAATAATTACATAAATGTTCTGCCCTTTGCTGCATAATAATTTTTAGTATTTTGTTTTATTTATTTTTTATTAATATTTTTGTTTTTGTTTGTAACTTTTATTAAAAATTTTCTTGCGTTCTTTTAGGAATTTCGAGTTCATTTACGGAATACTTTGCTTGAATTAAATGCAATGTTTATGTGTCAATCCAAATTAGTTATGCTTTTTATTTTTATTTGTATACATTGAGATTGGTTTTGTTTTAATATATTTATTTATTTGTTGTTGTTTTTTACTTTTGGAACACCATGAACGTTTTATACGAGTTAAAACTATGTTCTAACAACAGTTTCGGAAAGCAATTGTTATGGGAATTTGGTGGCTTACTTCAATATGAACACAAATATGATTGGTAGATAATGCTGGCTGTGATCTGTGTGTGCCCTGAATAATTAGAAAAGTTCGATTTCTTGTTTTTATAATAGGGCACATACATACATTAGCATACATTATGGATGTATTTATTAATTTACTGTCATTATGCAAATTATTTTATATTGTTGCTTATGTGGAAAGGTACTATTGTTTGTAATTATTTTTTAACTTTGTTTGGTTGGTTTTAGATTCATGGATCTTTTAGGTTCATATTTGTTATTGCACTTAGGTCTAAATACGTATACAGTTACAGTTCTTCTTATTAAACGCATTCCTTTGTTTTTAAATCGTATATGGACTATTGGTGAATTCAATTTACATATTTTATTCAAATACGTCTCTAATTAAATTTCGATTTTATTCTATTATATATATGTATGTGTGTATTAAATATGTCTATAGAAATGGAATGTTTTGCGTCTGTATATATATGTGTGTGTGTGTGTGTGTGTATCTCATAACAATTTTCGCTTTTCGTTTTGAACATTGAACAACAATTCACAAAATACATATTATAGATGAGCCAATATTCAATGATACGCTCCACGTTAAATATTTTCTATATAACTGTCAATGACTCTGTTGGGTGTGTGTGTGTATGTTGTGTGTGTGTATTTGTGGGTGTGTGTGTATTTGTGGGTGTATTGGTATATGTGGCATAGCTAGAGGTTTTGTTGTTTGTACAAACTAGGTACAGTCGGTAATTGGGATAGACTCGTACAATACGGTTGCGGTACATTTTGAATGCGTGTTAGGCAGAAAATGAAAATTCGGTTAAATTAGAACGGAAATATTATGCTTGTGATTTGTGTGTCTGTGTGTGTGTGTGTGTGTGTGGGTGTTGGTGTGCTGGAAATGAGCGCTTAACGAAATACAAAATGATTATAATCAGGTACATTTGATGTATCGGTTAAACAAAATATATATGTTAAATACAAACAAAACACAAAATGCAGCAATTAAAATGCGGAAAATAAATATTAAGCTTAAATATGAATACAAATTTTAAGAAGTATTTGCATTATATCGATATGAACACTTGTGACTATTGTGGTTGAATATGTATATGTGTGTGTATGTATGTGTGTGTGTGTGTGTGTGTGACTTGAGTTGGGCTATTGCATTTATTGTTTTTGGCTGTGTTGATAGATATATATGGTAGAATATTACGGCAGTTTGATGTTTGATTAATGGTAGTATTTTAATGATTTGTTGAATGTTGTATTTGTTGTGTATACGCGAACGTATGCTACAAATGATAATTAGCCTCAATTAACGAAAAGAAAACCAACAAAAACTAAAACAAATGTATTTAAATATATAGTATAAGAAACGTCATTTGCTTAACTTAATTTAAATATATTTGTGTGTGTGTGTGAGTGTATGCATATATATATATATATATATATATACATGCTGCTTATGTACTCATATACTCAATAGTTAAACTTCGGCTCTTGAAGTCAAAAACATTTATAAAATGTATCCTCATCTAATTAAGCATAACTACTTATGTATCCTTATACCGATTTATCGCATATATATATATAGGGATCCACAATGTTTGGAATGTGTCGAGCTGCGAATGTTTACATGTTTGTTTGTGTATGTGAATGTGTGTGTGTGTGTGTGTGTATTTATGTGTGTAGTAGTAGCTTCATAGAATACTTTTACTTGGCGAGGCGACGACGACAATGATTCCAAATTCAAACTCATCCATTTGGATCAACTTGAGCACGACGATGCAGAGCCGTTGACGCTGGCCACGCCTGTTTGGCTATTGTCGTCGCCGTGGTTTTTTTGTTATTAACGCCCACAGAGTGCCGAGTCTGTGGCACGTTGGCAGGAACTATGGATGCATTTAAATGCTGCTGCTGGTGCTGCTGTTGTTGTTGCTGTTGTTGTTGCTGTTGTTGTTGCTGTTGTTGTTGTGACGGCTGCTTTTGAAGCAGCGGCAGTTGCCGATCTTTGAGGTGGACAACGGTTGGCTTCTGATTACCGCTGTTGCCGCCGCCGCCGCTGCTGCTGCTGCTGCTGTTATTGTTGTTGCTGTATTGGCTTTTACTTGGCATCTGCCTTGTCATATCGGCGGGCAATTTGAAACCATTGGTGAGACTAACACACGCATATTCGTGCTCCGACGTCGGTGTAAGCGTCGCAGCCGACTCCTCCTCGGCCAGCAGGCAGATGCCATCGTTGGAATTCGAGTGTCGCGTAAAATTGGTATGGAATTGTTTCTTGCTGCCATTGCTGTTGCTGCTGGCGCTGCTGCTGCTCAGACTGCCGCTGCGACGGCAGCTAACGTTGCCCAGCCCTGGCACCGTTGTGACCAGAGGAAGGGAGTTGGGCGGCACAGCTACCTCCAATCCGCCATCGCCGCTCTTTAAGGAACTTTGCTTGCTATGGTTGGCATTTGAATTGCTTGCGCTGCCACCGGCGCCAGTCTGCAAAGCAACTGCATTGGGCGGCGTATGGCGATAGGGAATATAGAAGGCCTTCGCCTCGTGCAGTATCGCGTCCTGCACGGTTTTGCGCTCCGGCGAACCACCGCCGCACAGTGGCAACTGTGACAGATTGTGCACACCAGCAATGCTCAGTTCCAGCTGTACCTCCTGATCAGCAGGACGACGAGTGATCGGCCCGCCGCCATTGCCATTACCATTGCCATTCGGCAGTGTGGCGGCTGCCGCGGTGCTGGTCTGATACTCCAGTGTGTGTTCGGGCAGCAGTTCGATGTGATAGCGGGAGCGGGGTATTAGCGTCTGCATCTCATGGCAGTCCTGCTGCAGCGTGCTCCCACTAAGTCCGCCAGCACTGTCGCCTGGCATACCCGAGGCGCTGCTCAAATTGCCAAAGTTGATGTCCGTCGGCGTGGTCAGGTGTGTGGGCCCTTGGACGCGTGCCTTGAACCGTCGCCTCTGAAATACGATGAACAGTGCAAATCCGAACACACAAATTGTGGACAGAAGCGAGCCAATGGCGATGCCACTGTAAACTTCATGATTGGAGTTATTGGACACCGTTTCCAGTATGCGATGATTAACAAGGTCAAAGAACATGGGCGCTCCCACGCCGGTTTCACCGACAACCCGCACTGCCACATGTATCTTGTCCGTCTCCGAAACGTTGGGAAACTGCAATTTCAAAATGGAGATTGAGCAATAAAATAAAATATATTCATAAATGGAGCTTGCCTTATAGGAGCAACTGCGACACTCGAGTACATTTGCCTCGTGCGTAACATTGCCCAAGGTCCACAGTATATTGTAGTGATGGACACGTCCATTGGGATGCACTGGTGGCTCCCAGACCAATTTGAGGCCATTGTGCTTAACCAGTCGCGAGTTGCTAATGGTGCCGGGTGCTAAGCGTATGAAAATATCAAATTAGTAATAATACTCAATTCTAAAAATACGGGAGTTCAAATCATGCTTACGATCTGGCAACGTCTGCACATCCATTTCGCCATAGAAGATCTGCGGCTTGCAATTGTAGAAGTGGAAATTGTAACGCTCATTGGCGATGAGGCCGCTGACAAGCAGCACCGAGTTGACAATGGTGCGCTCCTTGCACTTGGGCTCCTGTTTGCGCAATGGCAATTGGACATGCAAATGACATTCGTAGACACAAGTGTCATTTAGGCTGTCCAGGAACTGAAAGGCGAGCATGCGCGACTCAACAGTGATCAAGCGAAAGGACATGTTCGACTGGTCGGATGTACCATTCTCGATCTGTGTGGAAGAGAAGACAACCGGAGACTTTAGAGCATGCAATGGACGGCGCTAAGACGCTGGAATTGTTAATCATTGCCACTACAGTACAGTCTACTCACAATCTTCCACTGTACGTAGCGAAAGTCCTGGGCGAGGAACTCGTTCTCGCTGGTAATAATTAGCACACGCATCTTGATGCGACTAAAGTGTTGCAGCAATAGACCGGTGACATTTGCATCTACCACCAAACTGAAGATATCCTCCTCCATTTCGAGAGTGACATCGTCCACCTCGTTGTCCAGCACCTCGTGCTCTGCGTTACGCAATACTGTGGCAGCATCGGTCTGATTGAGAGGCCTGATAATGGTCAACTGACGTCGCACCTCATCCGCCTTCTCCTCGACGGGCGTCAGAGTGCCATGCAGTGGGCCATTCAGCAGCCGGGCAGGATGTGGATGTGTGTGATTGATGGAGAACTGCAGTATGAAGTACTTCTTGTTGTCTAGCTCTGCCTGCGACCACTTAACAAAGGTGTCATTGCCCAAATGAACCAGGCGGAGCAGCACTACACAGGATATAAAGTGGAGTATATAAGGGAAATTTGCTACTACTATGTATTCAAATTGACTTACATCCCTGGGTGCAACAAACGACAGCTGGACTCCGCAGTGAGCTGATCATCATCTGCTGGGGTACTACGCTCCCCGAGCGCACTTCCGACGTGGGCAGCAGGAAGCGTGTGATGAGCGCAAATGGGCGGTAGATGGGTAAGCCCGTCGAGATGACCACAAATGAGGTGTGATTCAGTTTCATGGGTGCAAACGAGCTCCACTGATGCGGATTGCTGCGCACAATATGCACCACAAACATCGACTGCAAAATGAAAATAAAAAATCAGCATTAAACAAAAATCGAAAACCTAAAAAAGAAAAACGAAATGTTTGATGAATCACCTCGAGGGTACGGCTGTCAAAGGTGACGTTGATGGTGTGAAAACTGTGCGGATAACAGCGTATGTTCTGCAATGGATTCGTTTGCTGTGTCTGGCGTTTGAAACGCATCTCGCCGGTGACCGAATCCTCACCGGCAACATTGCGCGCAAAGCACTGATAGATGCCCTCCTCCTCCGGATCGAAAGAGTGTATGTACAGCTCATTGCCGCTGATGTAGCGTGTGTAGGAACTGTTGACCGCTGCCCCATTGTGATACCAGCTGATCTTGGGACGTGGATTTCCCTCGGCCCGACAGCTGAACGTTGTCGACATACTGAAGTAGCCCAATTCGACGGGCAGCGTGTCCACAATCCGTGGCGGACTGGTGACAATCACACGAAACGTTTGCCTATCGGTGGGACTGGTGCACATGTAGTAACCCTCATGCTCGGAGAAGCTAGCATTCGATATTTCCAGTGTTATGCTGTTGTTGCTCAGCTGCGACAAGGAGTTGTTTGGATGCTGCTGCCACCATTCGATGGGCACGTAGTCCGCAAAGGTCTGGCACTGCAGACGAAACGCGTCTCCGGCGGGCACATATAGTGTGGCATTCTGGAAGGCAGGCAACAGATGCGTTGCCAGCTGTGCGCTGCTGCTGCCGCTGCTGCTGCTGCTGCTGCTACTGTTGTGGTTCGATTCAACGCGCACCAGCCACACGAACTGGCGATGGCTCCGGGTGGTGTACGGGTTCTGGGCCACGCATCTGTAACGTATAATGTTTCACACATTAATTGGAATGGACGGTAGGCACACACACGGTAGACACTCGCTTGTGATAATTAATGCATTGGCTAGTTAATGCATTCTATACTTTGTAGGGGGAACTCTGAAAGGGTTGTTGCCTTGCTGCTGATGCGTTGATGGATTGCTGCCAAGGTGTTGATATGCAACATCAGTGTAAAAGCAACGCGGCAGCAGAATGCAATTATGAATTACACCTTAGATCAACAGTTAAAAACAACCACTTTACTATTACAAGTCAAGAGAGTTGGAGGCCTGTAGGTGGTATTATTACATATAATCGGACATGCGTGCTTAAGTATATTTATACGCAACAAAACACCACTTAGAATGTGCATTTTGATTAATATTCGTAGTAGTTTATATTTAGTGCGTGTAGCAAGAAATTAATTATTTTCATTTCTAAATTAAAATTTTATGCTCTTATGACGATCATCATATATATAAAACTGGAAAATAACAACGCTAAGGCCAAACGGTTAGGCGTCTGTTGTTCAGTTTGTTTGATGCAATTGGTTGATTGTATCGACAAAATTTCGATTGACTTAAAACCAAAATTCCAAAGTTTTCCATGCAACAAAAGAATCGAAATAAATGCTCAATAAATTTGTGTAAGCACGTCATATTTGATAGATGTGTTCCATAATATTAGAATAAAAAAGTTAGAAGATAATGTTAGTGGTTTTCCGCTGGCACGCAGTGACTTAGGGTTGATTGGGGTTCAGCTAAAAACTTACCTGTATTTGCCAGCCTGTTCGAGTCGCAATTGTGGTAATACAAGCGTGCCGTTTGTAAGGATAAAAACGCTGTGAGGGTCAGAGAATGGGAGAAGACGAGATTAATGCTAGCTCTCAATTGAGAAAAAAAAAACCCAAAATGTCAAGCGTCATTGAAGCCATCCAGCTGCCAGGCGGCGGGATAAAAGCGCATAGAATGATCAAGATGCAACCGCTGCAAGCGCTCGATGTAACAACACTGATCTTTACTCGCCTGTTGTCATTCGCCAGGGTCTCGTTGCCAAAGTACCAAGTGATGCGTGCAGCGGGCACACTAAGAAACGGACATTCAAGCACGAGCAATCGTTGCTCCAGGACACTGATGTTGGCACTCTGCTGCTGGCCAACAATTAAACGTTTCAACACTGCAAAGAAGAAGAAGACGACGATTAAGTGATGTGGATAAGATTGAGGATATTGTAAGCTCACCAGGATATTCGACTGTGATGCTTTGGGATAAGACTTTCATTTCATCCGCCTCGATTAGGCAGTGATAAACACCGCTGGCACGTTCATTGGGCGGCAAACGCAGCGATCCATTCTTAAAGATGAAGAACTCATTTTTGCGAATTGCCAAATGCTCAATGGCCTCATCATTCCGATACCAGTTGCAGAAAATGGAAACTTCATCTAAAATGGGCACAAAGGTCAATCGATATATATGTACGATATATATGAACATATGCATATTGTGTACTTACTTTGATAGTAATCATAGGGATTTAAAATTGGGTGGCAGTCCAGTAAATATGTAGCATGTGGATTGGTTATGGTCAGTCTTGTGTGGTTGTGCTTTTGTATCTGTAGATACGGCGTTAATGTTGTTGAGTTCTTCGGTTGTATGGCGGCAGCAACTGCAATAAATCAAAATGCAAAAACAAACAATGCGATTAGAACAAAACCAATTTCTGTCTCTGATAATCAAGTACACTTTGGGCAGACAATAAACAAAGCGAAAAACATCAAAATTTTATTTATACTTCGGACTTAATCTATTGGTTGCTGTAAATTTCACGCTTTTCACTTAGCACCTCCGTCGACTTGTCTGCCATTGTTCCAGCTTTTTTTTTTTTGCACAATTTTTTTCGTTTTGTATTTAGTTTTTTTCTGCTCTGGACACCCATAAAATAGGCGGCCAAATAGCTGAACCCCGTGCTGTGCTCGGATTTTGATGCTTTTGTTGGCGCCTTTGTTGTTGTCTGTCTCTGAGTGTGTTTCTGATTTTCTGGTACGTGATGCAACCGAGTTGCCTGCGAGAGTAAATTAATTTCTGCGGTTACTGCTGCTGCTGTCGTTGACGTTGCAGCAACGCCTTAGTCTTTTCATTTCATTTCTTTAAAGTAGAGATATGTTTCAAGGTAAGTTTCGTATACGTAACTATTGCATAATAACAAAGTATTTTTTTAACTTCTGTGTAGCATACCAAGTGGCATTTGCATACGAAATATCTATTAGCTGCAATAAGTTATCTGGCTGCTTTGGCTTGCTTTCTTAGAACTTGCCCAATGTTGAGTCTGAAGTGAATAAATGGTGGCAGGCAAAGCGTTGCAATGTTCAACAAATAACAAATCGCCAAACATTAGTCAAATGCGTTGAAATTTATGCTAAAAATGCAATCAAATAGCGTTCCGCTCCAGCTATGACCACCCAAGTGGCATCCAGCCAGCAAGGCGGGCAAGCGCACTCACTTGTGGCCATCATCAACTAGGCTAACGAGCCCAGTCAACAGAAAGAACAACAAGAATAAAACGATGACTCTCGTCAAGTTCTAAGGAAACTGTGAATTTGTTCAACTTTTTGATAAATGTAGTAAAATAAATAAGATAATTGCCCGAGCACAACAACAACAACAACAACAACAAACTGAAATGCCGAATAATGCCGCTCGTTGTATATGTTGCATGTTTGTACGCAATGTGTTGCAATTTTTATTGCTACAATTACACGCAATGCACCGGGGCAGCAATTTGACGCATGAAAATTCCTTGGACTTGGAAGCTAAAACTACAACTGAAATGCCATGCCAGCAATAGTCGGAGCAGCAGCAGCAGCAGCAGCGAACGATAGTAGTAACTGTGCTAAATGCGGCAAATTTGCAGAATATGCCGGTGTGGTAGGGTGTGGTGTGGTGCCGACTCTTTGCATGTGCAACCAAAACATAATTGTTAATGACTGGGCGTTTAATTGCGCTTTAGAAACCGCGCACAGTGTGTGCAGTGAAAGTTCAGCGATATTTATTTCTGCTTTTGTCATTGCCTGCCGCCGCACGCTGTGTTTGCCCATTTATCATACCTGCAAAAGGGGGCGGTGTCAACAGCTGCAATGAGCCTCAGTGAGCCATTAGCAGCGGTCAGGGGGCGGGCTAGGGCCAGGTGAATTGGGATGAGTTAATGTCGGTAATATTGAATTTAAATTGTAGCACTTCTGCACAGCTAAAAGTTTACTACACAATATTTTTTCCACACCCACGCTCACAATCATTTGTTAAAGCTGGTATCTAGATGGTGGATGCTATCAGAAGTGAAGCAATTTTCATGTTGCCAATTGTGGCAATAACTCAACTGGGCTTTAGCAAGATGGTCAATCTCAATGATTGAACTGTCGTGACACTCTCCTTTTTTTCAATCTGTTGCAGCACTTTATCTGATTGTATGCTGATGTGTATATATCTAGGTAGCCATAGCCATTATGGCCCTACCGTTATTGCCATATCTTCAATATAGGTTTAGCTCATTTATTTTATAATCTGGTCCGCATCAGGACAACAAATCCAAAGGCAAAAGCCAAAGCAATGCAAAAATTCTTGCACTCAACTCGCTGGGGAAGAATGTTTCCCAGAATCGTGCTTGAATGCTGTTTGACAACAAACTCACGCAAACACACAAACACACACACATACACACACACACACACATACACTCACACACACACACACATACATACAACCAGCCAGTTACTAAGTTGTAGCAAGTTGCAAGTTAACGCTGGCTGGTGGGAGAGGCAAGGACTGGGGAAAACTTGCACAAATTTGCATAGTTGAACGCACGTCGACGGCAGCAGTGCATTCCAGGCAGCAACTGTTGCTGCAGTCGATGATGAATGCAACTGCAACTGCAACTGCGGCGGTGGCGGCACATAAATTTCCGACTTGCTGCGCAGCGTTGCGCTTATCAAACGGCAACATCTTGTGCATAGATAAGTGAGGCACGGCATCAGCATTTGAACGGCCAATGGAATTTCACAAATTTAAATTGCCTGGCATCCTTTTAGTGGCCCCCAGCCACAGCTGCAGAGTCCCAGCACTTGCACCAGATTCAGGCACAGATACAGGCACAGACACAGACACAGACACAGACAGAGGCACAGACAGAGGCACAGGCACAGATTCGGATTCAGGTCCAGGCTCAGCGAGCACAGCTGTTGGCACACTTTTGCGACCAGTGTGGCAAACATTTTTCTGTAAAATGCAGCGCGCATGAGAGAAATAATTTATCGCCTAATGACGTGCTGCTCTAAGGTCGTTGCTGTAAAATGCGGCAATAAAACGCAGCGGCAGCAGCAAAAAAAAAAAAACAACAACAAACACATAAAAGAAAATAAAATATAAAATAAAATTAAAATGAAATTTAAATGTGAGAGGAGCAAGCACAGCATCTAACAATAACCAACTGCAGCAACTTACAGCTGCAACCCTCCCTCCCTCCCTTATAAACAGTTTGCCACCATTTACTGCACTAGTCTTAAAGAATGGGGCATTCCTTGGTGCTGCGGTCCGCCGCTTTGGGACCGCTCAACGAGAATTTATGAATGTGCAAATGTAGACGACAATTTCGCGCTTAAGTGTAAGCTACAACAGAGCACACACACCCCACCCACAACGCCTCTCTCACTCATTGCCCAAGAGATGTTGCAGATGCACCAGAGTACAGCACACTTAGAAAAATGTCTACTATAAATTTTCGAATTCGAATTTATGTTAAGTCAACCAATTTAAATGACAATTTTGTTCAAACACTTTTTCTATTTCGACTACTTTTATGCAGATGTCGAATTTTAATCTGCAAAATTTGAATTAAATAAATGAATACATTGTTACAACATAAGAACATTATTGCATATTTTCGGTCAGTACAGTGTAGGTCTGTCACACACCCACCGCGGCCCAGGGGCAAGAGGGGTCGTCGGCTCGCATGGCAATCGAAGATGCGTGTGCACATTCCATGGCATTCTGCACAAGCATGTGGGAAGTTCTACGGTTGCATTGCAAGTATCTTGTATCTCGTAGTTGTAGCCGCAACTATTGATTGCCAGCACCACACAGTTCATTGGCAAAGGAGAGAATACGAGAGAGAGAGAGAGAGAGAGAGAGAGAGAGAGAGAGAGAGAGAGAGAGAGAGAGAGAGAGAGAGAGAGAGAGAGTGGGAGAGAGGGAAATGGAGAGAGAGATGAAACGCGCTCGCCACATTTTACAGTTGGAGGATTGTGGATTGGGTTGCCTGGCTGCCTGGCTGCCTTGCCTGCATGTTTGCCCGGATGGCATCCAATTGCAGTCGCTTTACGGCTGCTGTTTACAGTGTTTTATTATTGGCCTGGCATCTACTACTACAACGATGGTTGCCGCTTATTTGGGTTAGCAGCTCAAATAGTTTTTACGTGCGTTTTTCAATGCAATTTCCAAATGCCGCAAGCAATTTATGAGAAAGTCTTACCGCCCGCCCCCCGCCGTCCACTCCTCGCCCACAGCGCAATTGCAGCAGCTATGCTGCTACATAGATTGCCCATTGTTTGCCTAATGCTTTTTGCCTAGCAGCTCAATTGATTAAGTATAAATGTGTGTGTGTGTGTGTGTGTGTGTGAGAGAGAGTGTGTGTCTGGAGTGTGTAATTGAGTCGTTGAGAATGCTCGAAATTTGCTACCAGCTCTGCGAACTAGTTAAAAGCGCTTACTAGACAAGCACACTCTTCCACACACTCACACACACGCACACACAGTGGCATAACTAACAAAACCAAGCAACCCAAGGGCTACACCAGACATATGCATAGAATGCCAGCAGCTGGGTAGGGGTATTCCTCGATTGTCGAACCACTTTAAACAATAGCGGGAATTTACTTTGCTAAAGTCAAAGATAAATTGCCTTTTAAACTACAAGCTCCGTTTGGTTAGTTGGCTTAGTTAGCAAAAGTCCTGAGCTTTGTTTGTTTGCCACACACAGCCACACACACACACACAGCCACCCACACATGCAAAGCATTCAATTGACATATTTGCTTAACTTTTGGCACTATAGAAAATTCGCAGCGAGCAATTTGAATAAATTGTCTTTGCCAATTTGCATTGTGAGACCATCGAATTTTTGGTGTTGTCAATGCCAAAGAAGTCTTATGTAAATAATGCCAAAGGGCATGCTACTGCTGCTACTGCTGCTGCTGTTGGCTGCTGTGCCAGCTTATAGGATAGAGCCGAAAAAGTTTGACAAACAACAAACGTTATCCACAAATCCCCTATTTAAATTGGCATTGGAATAGTAACTAAGATTTTAATTTCATATAAATTGTTGCAAATTCCAGTGAAAATTGAAGCTATTGTCACAAAAATGTTATCGCAATGGAAGTGTTCATTTATTATTATTTATGTCAATAGACCGGTGTGTAAACAAAAATGCCCGCAATTGGACAGCTTTCGCAAATGCCGTACAAATACCTTCCGACTGCAAATCATAACTGCATTGAGAGAATTGTCATAACAGCGGATAACCAAAATACAATATGCTACACCACATACCAATTCATTTCCGTTGAATTTTGACAACAGCAGCAGCAGCAGCAGCAGCGGCAAGCAGTGCAAACATTGT